CCGTGCACTTTCGAATCGCTCTCGCGGATGTCAAACACATATCGATCTGCGCCGCGCCGCTTCTAGTCGAGCACACCTAGTGCTGCAGGCTTATTGGCCCACGGACGTTGATGAGATTAACCCCTTAGGTATCGAAATTTGGTACCGAACGACGAGATGTTTTTTGATACTCGATGGTATCAAGGCAATTCGGTCGGTGCCTAAAAAGTATCGAACTCGATACCCAGCCCTATTCATCGAGGACACTCTTACTTGTTATTGACACAAATACGACCGATTTCAAACACTGCTTGGAAAGAATTCATGTCTGTCTTACTTGGTTTTATTTATTTTCACTAGACTGTCCAGTCGCTGCCCTGTGATTGTGTGTTTGTATTTGTGATGTGGCTCTGAGACAGGGTTGTTACTGGCGGCTGGCAGATGTAGAGATGCAGCTCTGGGCACACGTTCATGTCTGCGGTGGGTTCTACTGCTTACTGGATTGTGTCGTTGACACGCATACTGTAATCCAGCCCTGGCTAAGCCAGCAAACTCAAACTCCAACAGTGGGCTGAGACAGACCACGGGTCAGTTTTGCCACACAACTCTACCTGTTGCCCAATCCGGACCTCCAAATGGCCATAGCACGATTTAAGACTTGTGGGACGATTCCATCAATCACTGATGGATCTGAAACACTGAGCCTCAGCTGCAGGCTTGACCTTCCAGACATTGAGAATGGGATGTGTATCACACACACAGCGAGCCTCCTGCTCCAAGACATTATCATGCTATCTTTAAAACATTATGCGCAATATGTCCACCCTGACCTCAAGCCACAGCGCTGAGGAGAAGTGGCTCAAATGGCAGCTGTTTGGGAACACGCTCAAAGTACAGGCTGGATTCGCAATCGTCACGGCTTCACTCAGAGATCACTCACTGTCTGTGAAAGTAATGACAAATTAAAAACCTCCCTGGCTCTTCATCACTCAGAATCAGTTGGGAACACGCTCAAAGTACAGGCTGGATTCGCAATCGTCACGGCTTCACTCAGAGATCACTCACTGTCTGTGAAAGTAATGACAAATTAAAAACCTCCCTGGCTCTTCATCACTCAGAATCAGAACTCGAAAGTATAGGATGTTGAGAGACACCACAGCTTTTTTCATTTATGGTTTAAGTACTTCCATGTTCCACAATTTGTGGTTTGATGTCTTGGCTGCTTTGTAAAAACTGATATGTGCATGTTTGGAAAAAGAGTTGTTTCCTCGACATGCTGTCCACGCTGTTTTATCCACTGTTTGCATGCTTGTAAATTATGAATGAGGAGTAAAATGACATTTTCCAACATTAAAAAAGAAGAAACAATGAAAAGGGTGAATTTGAGAGCTTTTAAAATGAGATGTTTAAACAAGTAGGTATAAAACGCTGTGCTATCTTGTGAACATGAACACACCTTTTTTTCTTTCTTTTGGCCATTTTTTTTTTTGTATTCAATTCAGTGCCATTTTTCTGCTTGAATATTTATTATTATTGATGGTTCTTAATGATTGGCTAGTTGTTTTATTTCTCTCTCTCTCTCTCCCTCTCTCTCTCTCTCTCTCTCCCTCCATAATAATAATAATTATAAGTATTTGTTTTTGTTTCCAGTTTTGATGCGTTTTATTTTCCACATGTTCTTAGTGCCAATGAAATCCTTGATCCTTGGACGTTATTTTTTTCTTATTTTGTTTTGTTTTGCATCGTAAAAACCCTTTTGGAAAAGTTGTATCTATATATTAATCTCCTCTACAGCACCATTACTATATCCATACATATGCAGACAGATGTTTTTGTGTTGCGTCTCAGTTTTTTGAGCATCCTGCAATGAACATTGTGGTTTTAAGGTGCTGTGCCAAGTTAAATTAGTCAAATTTAAAAAAAAAAGCTAGATAAACAGTTGTTTTTCCATCATATATTTGATTGCATTGTGTATTATAGCCGGCGCATTGTATTGTCCAATCATAATCCAGGATTGGAACTATCTAGCCTTTTTGACATCAGAACATCAGTCAATAGACCCGAGTCAAACCCTTGTTTTCACAGGAGCTTTGTTAAATTAGTAGCAGAGCCAATAGCACTATGCACTATACGTTTTATTGACAAGCTGTATGTTAATGCTAATCTATGATGCATGATATAATCACTTCTTGTGAAGCGGCAGACAGTCGGTCGAATTAAGAGTCAGACGCAGCAAATCATTAGTGGTTGCTTCCAAAGCCAATTGTTTTGTCAATGAAGCACAAGCTATTGATCATCTTCATTTACATGGAGTGCTCGATCAGCTCCGCGTCAGTGTCAATAATCTGGCCTCTTTGGTTCCAGTTTCGTCTATAGTTAGACTCTTGACATCCTTAAGTTTATTACTGACGTTTGAGCAACTTATGTACACTTAGCCACGGCTCCAACAGAATACCTGACTTGTTAGATTGGTATTCTGCTCCAGACCCACTGGGTTGGGCAGTGCTGATGCCATGCTTATTACCACAAGACTAATATCCTGCGGAAAGCAAAGTGCCCAGCACAGCGTCTTACCAGAAACATTCTGTTAAGATGGTTAATATGGCAGGCCAGGCTGTGCCAGCTGAGTGCGGAACACCTAATGAGGATTAATATCTGCCTTTATCACGAGCAGCAGCCACTGCTTTCACTTAACTCCCATCTCCTTGATGAAGGTAGAGAGGAAATAACTACAGAATGGCCAGTGTGAGAAAGTTTTCTGGTGGGTCTTGATCTTGTAATGTGTTTTGGGAACTTAAACATTAGGTTTTGTGTTATTGCAAATTACAATAAAAATGTACTAGCCTGTTTTGTTTTAGTTTTTTGTTTTATTTTGTTTTACTTTGCTTTGCTTTTTGTTTTGTTTTAGTTTTTTGTCTTATTTTTTTGCTTTTTCCTTTGTTTTTGCTTTGTTTTTCTTTGCTTTGCAGTGCTTTGTTTTTTTTTTGCTTTGTTTTGTTTTTCTTTTCTTTTCTTTTATGCTTTTTGTTATGAGTTTTTTTGTTTTGTTTTGTTTTGAACAACTTTTTTTTTTTTAATGTTTTGAGAGAAGTCTCTCTAGCTCACCAATGCTGTATTTACACAATGCTCACTAAGGCTGTATTTACTTAAAATTTACAGTAAAAAAACTGTAATAATGTGAAATATTATTGATTTAAAATAACTGTTTTCTGTTTTAATATATTTTAATTGTAATTTATTCCAAAGCTGAAATTTAGCAGTAATCCAGTCCTCAGTGTCACTTTACCCCTTTAGAAATTATTCTACTATCACTTTTGATCAATTGAATGCATCCTTGCTGAATAAAAGTATTCATTCAAACTCATTTCCTTGATTATTTGTCATTAAAGGGGTCATATGATGCGATTTCAATTTTTCCTTTCTCTTTGGAGTGTTACAAGCTCTTGGTGCATAAAGAAGATCTGTAAAGTTGCAAAGACTAAAGTCTCAAATCCATGTTCCTCACTCTAGCCCGATGTGTTTTTTTAACCTTAAACCGCATAAACACATTTCATTACACCAAATACGCAAAATTATGTTCTTTTTAGCAACATCATATGACCCCTTTAATTTATGAATAATATGTAAAAATAAAATAAATATGTAAAAATGTATAAATATTATGGTTAAGTATTAAGGCTATTTCGACTATCTAATCACTGCTCTCTCTTTGTTTTGCAGGACAAGTCCCCCTTACTGTTGTGTGGATCTTTATTCCTTGAGGACAGGAGAGATGGTCAAGTCCATACAGTTTAAAACGCCCATCTATGATCTGCACTGCAACAAAAGGTGCATTTGCACACATTTTGTTCTTAATTTTACCTTGTAATCATTTTAAATGCAGCATTATGTTTATGTACAATTTTTTTTTCTGACTCAATCTCTATCCCTTGATGACCATAGGATTCTCGTAGTTAGTCTTCAAGAAAAGATTGCTGCCTTTGACAGCTGCACCTTTATGAAAAAGTTCTTTGTCACAAGTAAGTGCTTCACGTTATAGATGTGTCTGCTGAACTTGACCCTTCTTGACCTTCTCTAGTCTCCGACGCAACTTTTCTTTGCGTCTTTGATCTGCAGCTTCGCAAAACAGGAAACCTAGTCTTGATTAATCCTCTTTGCACACTGACTTCATTAAACCCACAAAACCCCACATAACCCTCATACGTGCTGTCACACCAATGGAGCCGTTTTTCCTTGTGTCACTCCTCACGGCTATACGATATCAAAGCTCATCCACAACTCCACAGGCCTGCTTGTTTACACAAATGGCTTTTGTTTTATAATGTGTCAGAACTGGACACGTCTGTGTCAAGCTGCCATCGTGCAGCATAAACAACAACAAACAAATGCATATTGTCACTCAGCCCAGCTCTAGCACATAAAGAGCAATTTCATCTCCTCCAGTCTAGACCACGGGCGGAATCCGAATGACTTTTTTGCAATCTTGAAGGAGATGCTGCTCATAAGGTCCCAACTCTCATGTGCGTGACTGGTCTTCGTATATGGTTTCAGAAGAATAAACTGTCCATGTCACCATGTGAAACCAGGCCTCTGCTGCCCACTTAAGCAATCGTCTGTTGTAAATTGCCATTAGTGTTGTTTTAATGGCTCTCATTGTCTATCCGACTTCCCCGTCAACGTCTGCGCCACAGGAAACGGGCATGGTCAATAACCCTTTACATCATTAATCGCTTCTCTAAAGCTTCCTTAACATATGAAGAACAAGACTAGATGTATTTTTTAAAGTGACCGACTGAAGTCCATAGTTATTATAGTTAACTAAACTATTAAAAAAACCTGAAATCATAAAAAAAAAGTTCCTTAGGTGTAATTTCCGGAATATAAGTCACGTTTTAACATGCTGCGACCTATATTTCAAAGCAAAGAGTATACATTTGGATTTGTGCCGAATGAGAAAGGTACGTGAGCCTAAGTTTATTTGTATATAGCACATTTCTCACACTGGTAGTTTCACTTTAAATAAAATTGTTTAGACTTGGCTATTTTAACAAATTTTGTTTATAATGAATGCCACTATGACTTATGTTTGTTTTATACTTAAATTTTTAATTCCTACTCTTTTCTGAATACTGTTATGTTATAAAGATTTGTTGTGGAGTGAGGAGAACTGAAATACATGTCCATAGTGTTTATAATGTTTGTAAACATTTCATTTTATTTTGCATTTCATTGGATTACATTACATTTCAGTATTTTTACGTTTATTTCTTAATATAATGATAACCTGAATGTATTTTAGATTTTTTGTCTAGTGTAGATCTGAAATGTCATTTATAACTTTTTGTTAATCGTATACTTTGTGTAATTTATTTAGAGATCGCCATGAAAATAGCCTTGATGCTGGCACAGCGTTAAGAAGTGAATAAATAAATAATATAATGATAAAATATAAAGATAGGTGTGTTTTTTTTCTATCAACAACACTTTTTTTTCTGGAAAATACAGTATGTGAAATAATATAAATGTTAACTGAAATAAAAACAGGAGGGAAAAAAAGAAGAATAAAAAAATCAGCTAGTTGCCAAGGAAATATTTCTCATTTTCAATAAGTTTAACTTGGTGTACTGAAACAAACAAAATTAAAGCTGAAATAAATTAATGAAAGAAATGAATAAAAACTATATAAACATAAAGTATAAAAATGGCAAGAACACACACAATTATTAAAACTAACTGAAATTAAAATGAAAATAGAAAAATAAACTAATTTGAAAATCTATAATAGTATCTCTGTGATACTAAAATAACACTGCCAAAGATATATGAACAATACAAAATATGGAGTTATTTTATAGGTTATGTGCCCCACTGGCCTGCATGTTGTTTCTCATTACTTCTGTTTTTTTTGGGTGGAAGCGTTGAATAAGGTCTTCTCTTTCTGGCTGTGAGATCACAAAACAATGGTGAAAATCCCCCAAGCCCGGCTCACAGGATGTGTTAAACATACGTTATCTCACTGCATTGGCTCCCTCCACTTTGGAAAGGCACAAAAGGCTTTTGCATTACTGCGCTTGTGGCTTACCTCAAGTCCCATTCACCCGAGTTTCAGATCCAGTCTCTACACCCTAAATTACTGTCTGCGTATATTTTATATTCACTCCATGCTATAAATTACTGTCAGCGCACTTCACACTGTGATATGCACTTGCATAACCTTTCCTTGTGCAAAGGCAGAGAAAGATGTTTGGTGTTTCTGTGCTTATTTATTAGGTTTAAGACCTTATCTGATTTGCATTTGCTTGCGTGTTTGCTCTGTTTGTATGTGTCCCACATGTGATGTACAGCTACATTATCATGGCATGTTGGATCAGTACAGATTCTTTGGCTGTATTGCTCTCATGGGTCAATCTGTCTGGCAGTTAATAAGCTGAGGAGCCATCCTACTGTCACAAAATGCCATAACCCTTATTTAACCTCTGGTATTATTCTAACCCTAAGCTCTAGTAAAACACAGTCTTGGGTGAGATGCTGCTATGATGGATAATTTATGTGTTCTTTGTGCTGTTATTTAGTTTATCTCTTGTTATATTTGTGTTTTCCTTTGTGTTGCAGGCTGCTACCCCTGTCCTGGGCCCAACCTCAACCCTATAGCTCTGGGAAGCCGGTGGTTGGCCTATGCTGAGAACAAGGTAGTACAAACACCCAGTATTTTAAACAAATCTAGATGCACCCAAAATACCTTTTTTTACATTTTGTTTAGTAACACATTTTGTTGTGCCCCATCCAGATGTTTTTAAGCACAAGAACATGCCCTTTGTAAACGCTCAGCAACACCTAATAGTCCGCCTGATAGTTCAGGCCTTCCTTGAGATGGATTTGTTGCTGATAGTTCGTTGCTTTGCTTAACCTTAAATCAAACTGCAGCCGTCTTATGAATGTTTTTATTTCTTACGAATTGCACATATCATTATAAAGACAATGTGTGTCATATCAATATGAGCTAACAGTATAATATGACATATTATTATTAAGTAGACCCTTGATTCACCATCATTTATATAATGGGTGCGGTTTGTTTGCCTTGGAGAGGCCACTTGCTGCTTAATAATGGACAGATGGGACAGTGTGTCTGGGCAAAGGTAATGAGTTTCTGGCCAATGGCAGCTGAAGTGTTGTATAGGTCTGGGACATGGACCCTAGAGGGAGTGCATCGTAGAATGGGGCTGAAGAACTGTTTGTTGTCCTAATGGCATCCTCCTCCTCCTCTTACTCACCGTGCCCGTCTGCAGACGTCCTGGCGCGGGCTGTGACAGGCCTCTGTGGGTTAATGAGTGCTGAGGAGCTGAAAGGTTCTGGATGATAATGTGACTCTGTTCTGTCTCTGTTTGTGTGTGTGTGTAGCTGATCCGGTGTCATCAGTCCCGTGGTGGGGCCTGTGGAGATAATGCCCAGTCCTACACTGCCACGGTCATCAGTGCTGCTAAAGTGAGTATGCGCTTCTTACCGATGCTGTGACAAGTCACAGTAACATGTGGTAGTTGCGTGAAGAAGTATTTGCCCACCTAAGCCATAAATAAATGTCAGATAGATAGAATAAGCAAACTTTTATAGTAATGCATTTCACCCCAAAAAAAAAAAAGTTTGGTAGGTATTAATTATAAAAAAATATATAGATACTTAGACACTAAAAGTACTTTCTGGTCATCTAACATTAATGGGTTATTTAGGGTAAAACGTAAAACCTGTCTAGTTTAGAGAAAAGCATTATTTATTTGTCTTCTCCATCCATTCTAAATCCATATATTTTGAGTGGCTTTAGTGTCCAAATACGATTTGAGGCCACATTAACACATTAGTCCACACGTTTGACCAACACTTGTGGAATGATTTATGCACAGATTATTTCAATTGTGTCTTGCTGACTTCTCGTTTATGAGCATTATTAATTTTGTTTTATATGATTAAAACCAGCCATTCTTTTGTAAAATCTTACATTTATAACTGTTGGTGCACTGCGTTTAAAAATCATTCAATATGGTGGTGAAATCATTACTGTTCATTACACTGGCCAAACTTTTTAATGTTTTTAAAAAAAATTTTTTTTTAAACTGTTGTGTTTAAGGGCATTCAGTATGATCACACTTTTATTTCTAAGACACGATTGGCCCAGTAATCCTTAGCTGTGTCACATTAATTCATGATAAACCTGTTTCCAAGGCAAGGAATCAGCTTAAACCTTATAAGTTTTATCTGGCTCTTGCAATTGTGTTTTTTCTTTGCACTTACTTGTGTATTTTCAGTCATGCTTTCTTTCCTGTTTGCACTGCTCTAAATGAAGCTCATAATGTGTGCATCCCAGAGCGGTCTTGGCGTAGTCCTCAGTGATTCAGAGACCCACTAGAGTTCATTTAGTGGTGCCAGAACCTTGGTGCTTAACCTTTCATATGGTTCCAGTCTCCTCTCCTTGTTGCTTAATTGATTTATTAAGCCCACATCTGTATTCCCCGGCCGCCGGCCTGATCACCGCCTAACGAGCGCTAACAGCTTACGTGAGAGAAGTACCATTAGTCTTAATGGCGGTATACATCAAAAGGAGCACAGCAAAGGTTAGCAGAGAGGAAAACAAGGTTAAAAAAGCCTTGATACGCAGACAGGCCGTCTGCAGACGGGGCTGTGATTTATAACCATCTCCTCCGCTCTGACACACGGTCCCTGTGCTGAGTGGCTCTGAGTGCGGCCGTCTGGGGGCCAGGGGGCCATCTCCCATCTATCCTGTAACACAATCACAAAAAAGGAGGGGGAGGGCACCTTTTGCAAAATTGAATTCTTGCAAGGCACAGATTGTGTAAATGAGTGCGATGTGACCAAAAGAGAGATGTCATTGTGCCAGCCACAAGCCTGCATGAGCGGGGTGCCCCAGGGCTCTGTTTTCAGACCTCTGCTGTTGTGAACTGTGTTTGGGGTAAGTGGATAGCACAGCTTAAGTAGGGTCTCCTCTAGTTCTCACTTAATGGAGTGAACATTGCTCTATGTGTGTGTCTGTCTGCCAAGGCCCCGGAGAGCTTAATCAGGCATTCAGGCCAAGCGGCAGCGTCAATACCTCGTGGCGCCTGTGTTTGTTGGGCCCTTTGGAGAATGCTCTGACAAGCCCACTAACTGACTGTGTGTAAATTGCTTTGCCCCATCAATTATTAAGAGAAGCGTTTGCCTCCTAATTGATCAACACTAATGTGTTTTCTAATCACTGCAGTTAGAGTTTTTAGTGCTAATCCAAACAGTCCCCATTGATCAGGGTTGGCGAGGGGAGGGGGCCGCCGGCTGGTGGCAGACACTGTACTGACTGCCGTGCCAGAAATCGGACATCTCTTCTCAGCTCTCTTCTCAGAGTAAACATTGACACTGACTCGCACAAACACTAACCGTTAGCCTGCACGGCTAACTCACACACCTGTCTGTTGACATTGCCTCAAACAACACTGGATGCAAACATGTTTTTTAGGTCATTGCTCAACAAAATGTCTGGATGTGCGAACATTGTTTGCAGTATTGATTTGAGTGTTGCAATAGTACTTCTGTTTAGCTGGCGCAAATGTTGCTGAATTACATGTTTTTCTTTCAACCCTTTGCATGAATTACTGAATATTAAAAAAACAGGTTTCATTTTACTTTAAAACATCTAATTATTCCACTTTTTTCCAACTTCATTTTTACAAAAACTAAAAACTAAATTGGGTAATTAAACTTATTATGCTGTTCAAGGTGTTGTGTTCTCAGTACCTTTGGAATGTCTTGTACTAACATTTATCGCATGGATGGATCTTTAAAGGGATAGTTCACCCAAAAATGAAAATTCTGCCATTGATTACACCCTCATGGCGTTCCAAACCCGTAAGACCTTCGTTCATCTTTGGAATACAAATTAAGATTTTTGCTGAAATCTGAGAGCTTTCTGACCCTGCATAGACGGCAACGCAACTGAAATGTTCAAGGCCCAGAAAGGTATAAGGACATCATTAAAATACTCCATGTGACATCAGTGGTTCAACTGTACTTTTACGAAGCTACAAGAATACTTTTTGTGTGCAAAGAAAACAAAAATAACGACTTTATTCAACAATTTCTTCTCTTTCATGTCAGTCTTTGACGCGTGTTCACGAGAGTAACACAACACATGCATGTGGTGCTGCTGACTGGGCCTTGAATGTGTCAGTTGCGTTGCTGTCTATATGCAGGATCTGAAAGCTCTCAGATTTCAACAAGAAATACCTTAATTTGTGTTCCAAAGATGAATTTAATTGCCCAAACTTTTTTTTTTTTCGGTTTTAGTTTTTGTAAAAATTGAAATTTTCGTTTCTGTGTTTCGGTATTAAAAAACATTCTGTGCATCACTATCGTAAACCACTACAGCTTTTTGATTTTTAAATATTTTTAAAGTTCTGTCTTTGTCTTCCTGTCAGACGTTGAAGACGGGCCTGACAATGGTGGGGAAGGTCGTGACCCAGCTCGCCGGTACACTGCCATCAGGGGCACCTGACGAGGAGGGCACTGCCCATAGTGGCACCCGCCGCAACCCTCACCAGCCTGGTGTGGTCACCATCATAGACACACACACTGTGGGAGAAGGACAGGTACGAAATGCTCTCTCATACATAATAATCTGTATGTTTTTTTCCAGAGATGGAGGCTTGTGAATGATGGGATTTCTAGCACGCAACAGTATCACAATAGTGTGTCTGTTTATGGTACTTTCTTCATCCATCTGACCTTGATTCGAAAGAACCCGGATTCATTCCCCTTTTCTCCGAGATAAATAATCCATTAATCCCATTCCTATCTCATTCAGTATTAGTGCTTCTTGTGGCCCAAGGGGTTTGTCATCACCTTGTCATAAGAGCACATGCTTGACCGTTCGTTCACAGACTCCGTGCCAGGCCGCAGTCTCCTGATCTCATGATTTAGCCACTTCCTGTGGCTGTTTCCCCCTTGGCTGGCACAACCCTAGCCTTTTAGCATGAGATCACAGGCAGGTCATTGCAGAAGCATTACGGAAAAGGTCTCTCTTTTTTTTTTTTTTCACACCAATGCCTGAATGTGTTAAAAGAGGACATGTAGGTGTGTGACACGTGAGCATTTTAATAGAGCACTAAGTTTAAAGGCTAACTTTAATATTTGCAGTTTCTTTATTCAAGGATTTTTACTTGGAGAAAGGTTAAGTTGGAACAGGTTTCGCTATCCTGTTGATTCTGACCCATGTAAATAGATCCTCCCATTTAGTGGGCTGTTAAAAATGTGTTAGTTAAACCCTCGATTCCCCAGAGATTCTACCGCGACCCGATTGACGTTACTCTTATTTAGAGGTATGATTTATTGTGCTTTTTTATAAACCTATACCACTCTGATTTGCCAGAGTCAACAGTTTCTAAGAGAGGTTTCCTGTGTTTATATCACCATCCGCTCCAGAGCCAACCTCACAAGAAGCTGCGCTCCTCCCAAAGTGGACTAGTCATGTTTTCAATGTTAACACAAAGCATCTTTATGGAATTTACTGTCAGTGCCATTTTCCCGTGACTCCAGCAGTGGTCTGGGCATTTTTCCCATCTCCCCCACTCCCAGTCTCAGGGGACACGCCCCACCCCCCTCATCATCATCATCATCATCCACCTCTTGCAGCTCTGTATTTCCTGCAAGAAGTTTATTTGCTCTTTGGAGCTATCCGCACACTAATACTGTTCCAAAGCAATAGTATATTCCTGTACAGAACAACATTGTCTGTTTTTGCCCCTAATAAAAGTGATCTGGTTTGTGTCACAGGAGCATTTTTTTGCAGTCTGAAATAAATGTCTGGGTTTTAGAGCAAGGCTGTTTTCTGTTTGGACTGGATCCTATTAAAAGCTGCCTTGCTCCTTAATGCAACACTCCGCTACATTTATCACTCTTCTCTCCGGCTGTCTCATGTCTGGGCTTAGTTATAATCTCTTTCATGAGCAAACTTAACAGAGGGCCACTGACCAGAGAATAGCCCCTTATGAGCAACACATTCTCCTTTTTCTTTCTTTCTATTTTGCTTTCGAGTTTGATAGGCTATTTGAAAGATATCAGAATTTATATTGAATTTTAATATCTACACCCATTTTGGAGAAATGTTTGATATTTAAAATGCCAAAAAAGTTTTACTACTTTTTGTTCAGTTTTGATTTTTTTATTTCATATTTGATTTATTATATAAATAAATAAAAATGAACATTCTCGTTATTTTTTTTGTTTTATTTTTACTTTTGTACTTTTTGTTGTTATTTTTATTTATTTATTTATTTTTTGTTTTGTTTTTCGTATATTTTATATTTGGTTTATTGAATAAATAAAGAAAAAAATTAACATTGTTTATTCCTTCATTCTTCTTTCTTTCTTTTCTTTTTTTCCTGTACTAATGTACATGAGTGGATGAATTACGGATTCACATTACAGTTCTTTTAACTGGGAGCTATTAATCTCTTTTGGGTAGCAAAACGTGAAGAGATACTATAGAGTTTCTTCCTGCTCTGTTTGTTTCAACTCCTTCAACATGGCACTTTTTCCTTCCTGTCTGATACAGAACTGTTGCACTGTGGGCTTTGGCAGAATATGCACATTGATCACAGTGGTCATGTGGGTTAGTCTTTATTTCTTTGAAGCCGTGTTCATAAGACACACCAACATATTTGCGGGCATCTTTTAAAAAAATGTCTATTTGAATTCCATATTGAAACTATTTTGCCGAACATGCGTCATTTAAAGCTAAAATCTTCCAGTGTGGATTAAAGTAGACACAAGGATAATTGTTAAGCACCCGCAAGAGGACAGCATGTTTAAGGCTGAATGACATGATGGGGAATGGATGATGATCATAAAAAAAAAAAAAAACACACATGGAAACCTTTTCAGCTCCATACAATGGAACACAACTTGGAACAAACTTTGTTTTAGTTTTAAACAAAATGCCAAAACACATCTTTGTAATACTGATTCAATCTTATGTAACTGTGAAGATCAGATTGCACAGGCCACTGTAGAGCTAATGACCAGCTATGTGTCTAAAACACTTGAGACGTGAGGTAAACAAGAAGTCAGCTTTTATTTATGTAGCTCCGTCAACTTACTGTAGCTTTATTGTGTGTTTTTTGGGTGTATATGTTTCAGGTTCTTGTTAGTGAGGATTCTGATGGAGAAGGAGTGATTGCACATTTTCCAGCACACGATAAGCCTATATCCTGCATGGCGTTTAATCCGAGTGGTAAGTGAACACCTCATTTTGATGCCTCACTGAGTCCTACCAAAGCACAAAACTCTAGGCACTTGGTTGGCAGAAGTTTACATGGTCTTAAAGGGGACGCGTTGTGGCTATCCCTTGATTTTTTAAAATTAAAACAGTTTGATATACAATGCAGATTTATTCGGTTCACAATGCAAAGTTCTCTTCCTAGTCCACCCAGATCATTAATATAAACTGTATTGACCTGCTCTGATAACCAACATTGTACTGCACTGGTATGTGGAGGTTAGCCAATCATAAAAGAGTGCATTTTCATATAGAAGTCTTAAAGGTACAGTAGCAACCTATTTAAGGGGATAGTTAAGATTCTGTCATCATCTACTTATCTTTATGTCTTTGCAAACCTGTATATTTCTTGATTTTTTTGGAACACAACTGGAAGTATTAAATGGAGATGTTGACTTATTTTCCATATGGTCTTTCAAAGTTAGATTTTAAATTTAACAGAATATTTATTTTTGGTTGAGCCATTCCTTTAATTCTAAGGGTGAAAATGGTCACTTAAAACTAAAGTTTGACTCTTTTTACTGCAGGAAAGGTTGTCTAATATTCTTCAGGGGAAAAAAAAGAATGATACAAAAGTGTAAAATAAGGCCCATTTGAGAAGGAGATGGCGGTGTCAGTCATGTCACCTTTTTACATGTAACCTCATCTTGTTCTGTAAGCGTTACTGTCTGCTTGGCCCTTAAGATCTGTTGTTCTGAAAAGCAGCCGTTGTGTGTCTTCTGATGAATATACCCCCAGGCACATAGGTCACTGTCATTTCTCCCTCTTTTTCCTCTATCCAGCCTTCTCTTTCTTCCCTCTTGTCTCTCCTTAGCACGTAGTGGAATATTTAGTGATCATTGATCTTGTTCATGTCTGTCTCTCTTGAAGTGTATTGAAGTCAACAAAGCCCTCGGTCTCTTTCAGATTAAATACCCCAAGCGCTGAACAGGTACAGTTTCATACCTTAAAGATAAGAAGAGCCGTGCTATTCAGAAGGCGCAGGACGGGCTCATAATTCTTAGCACATTTAGACAGCCACGTCACAACATGCTTTAGTCATTATAAGGGCCGTTATTCATTACCTGTTGGATTTTTGCACCTTGATTTTTATTTATATTCAAGATTTATTTCATTTCATTTTATGATTCTTTCCTGCTTGAGCACCATGACTTTATGTCACTAGTCCATGGCTCCAACTGTTTCTTGGATTTTATGGAAAAATACAGTAAAACCATGGTAGCATTGCCCTCAACCCGCCCTTGAACTAGCGTCTTGGCTCATTTTGATAGGCAGTTATCTGATCACGTTTCAATTTTACATATAGTCATGTTTGTTTCTCCGGATATCCAGTCCAGTCACAATGGCTCATTGTAAGGTGTGTGTCGCAGATTGAGAGTTCTTCTAATAAGAAGGTGCTGAAAGCTAATGATAGCCATTGCCCTAAGTGAAATCTTTCACATATCTGTCCTTACTAAGAAATACTATGGGAGACTCCATTGAGGATGAGTCATTGTGTACATTAGTATACAGCTCCAGGTGCAGATGATTTTTGCATCGGGTTACTAAAAGATTGTAAGGAAATGGTGCATATCTTAGTACATCAAAACAATCCTGATGGATGTTCTGTATCAACCGCACAATATTGAATTGATGCCAAGCCTCAAAACTCGTGCCTGTGAGCTGCTTGGGTACAGTAATATTATAAAGAGGATTTATGCAAAGAGCAGTTTAGAACAAGTACATATAACTTATTAATTTATGATTGATTGATTAATTAAAATATTTTATTTGTTATTATAAAATAAAACTTTGTGGACTTTGACATTGATCTACTTATTTTTTTATTACATTTATTTTTATTTAAAATAGATTTATTCTAATCACAGCTCTATTTTGTTATTGTCATTGTCTCATTTGTTTCAAATTATTTCTGTTTCTATTTTAAGAGAAACTTTAGATTTTTTTGTTTGTTCAGTATTTAAATGAAATATTAGTCAGAAAATTGTCTATATATATATACAGTGGGTACGGAAAGTATTCCGCCTTGTTTGTTTTTAGTAATTGTATTTTTTTTTTTTCTGTACTAATTTATTAAATCATATTTATTCTTTCTTCTCAGTTTGGAAGCCCCATATTCTTACCTTCGAATTTTTCAGCATTATTGAACCATTACATTCTTTTGATTCGCGTATAAGATGAGGGAATAAAATGCAGTGAATTACACCCTTCTAATTAGATTGTCCTAACCTCACTTTGGACAGAGCATGTTTGTCTCTAGGTGGCGCTATTGGTTAACCTTTAGACCTCAGAGTAGCAAGCCACCTTTTCCCTATTAGCATGTGTGCAGCAGGAGGTGGAGGTGGAGGTGGAGGTGAAGTCAGTGTCCCATCACTATGGTCAACTGCACTGGAACTTTCAGCCCAGTAGTTCTTTTATCTTCATGAGTCAGTGAAAAGTGCTATGGATCACGGGGCAAAGCAAACATACAGTCAACAATTAAGGCCTGCTCAGGGACATTACTTGTACAAATATTAGTGCAAATGTGTGTTTTTCTTAGATCAACAAAGAATTGAAGGTCACAATAAAAACAAGTGTGACTACATAACCGTCCTATCAATCTGAAAAAAAGTGTGACCATAATTTTTATATATTTTGGTGAACAAAACATTTTTTTGACACAAAAAAATGTTGGTAAACATATATTCATGATTATTTATTTAATTTACTTTTTTATATGTACACTACCACTCAAATGTTTGCAGTCTGTAAGATTTTTTTGAAAGAAGACTCTTATGCTCATCAAGGCTGCATTTATTTGATCAAAATACAGTAAAAACAGCTATGAAATATGACTTCTATTTTAATATATTTTAAAATATAATTTATTCCTGTGATGTTTTTCAGCAGCCATTACTCGAGTCTTACTAGGTGCGTTTCCATTACAGATTTGCGCAAAACTTTGGCGATATTTTCTAAATGTCGATAAAAAAAGTATTGCGAAATGACGGCGTTTTCATTAACCAATGTTATGCAACTAAAACGTAACGTGCGTGGCGCGGCTGGAATAAACCATAGACTGTATAAAAACATAAACACAAGCATTGAGTGGCCGCAATCAGCTTCAGTGACCGTATCAGTGCCACACTGCACCGCAGACGTGTGCAGTGTAAATTGTCTGAGCATTAATGGTAGGGAAAGCCCCTTTATACTGGAGAGCGGCCACGTATGAAGTGTTTCTTGGAGGTTATAGTACATTGAAGAATGATCATTTGCCTTTTTACATACGCCATGTGACCTGTAAATGCGGAAAAACCGTTTCCATTGCAGTTTTGCGAATTATTCCTTTTTCGCATTGCCTGAAAAAACACCTCATGCGAGCGTAAAAACTTTTTTGCGATATATGGGCGTTTTTGCGAAATTGACGCATTTCCATTAGGCGTATTTTCAATTTTCAATTTCAATTTGCACAATTTGAAGGGTAATGGAAACGCGCCTAGTGTCACATGATCATTCAGAAATCATTTATAATATGCTGATTTGTTGCTCTAGAAACATTTCTTGTCAATGTTGAAAACAGTTGTTACTTTTTTTTTGTAAACTGTTATGACCCTTTTGTCTACAACTCTTTGATGAATTTATTTGAAATCTTGTGTAACATTGTAAATGTTTTTACAATCACTTTTAATCAATTTAATGCCTAAATAGAAGTGTTAAATACAAATCCTTCCAGGCTAACTGAAAAATATTGTTAAATACTGACCTGTGTTTGAGAATTACAGCTTTTTGGTTTTTCATTCTGTAATATTTTGGTTACTTTTTCACTGAAGAATTTTGTCCCAGCCTAGGGAGGCCCCAGTCCTGGTCCCCCGAGTGCTGAGCCCCCAGTGTGGCCCTTTGTCAGGCGCCCTCTACCCTCATGTGGAAAGTGCTTTGGGGCGGCTTGTTTTATATAACAGTGAGGTGCTGTAAACTTCAAACAGTTTAACCTTCACCTGTCAACTTTATTCAGAAATAATGGGATGTGTCTGTTATCACCTCATTTGCTTGGGCATAAATCGAAAGGGCTATAATAATTGTTTTGAGTTATGAAATTGTTTGGCACCAGGAAGGCTGGAAGAAATCCCCGTAGTCCTCGATACAGAAAAAAGCCTCTAGATATGCTGACTAACAAGGTCAGGCTGAACGTTCCCTGAGACTTGTGTTCACATCCATGCTGTAATTTACGTTCCTTACATCATTAACACATGATCAAAACCAGCTCTTTGAGATTTGCAAGAAATGCCTCCTCAGCACTGTGATGGAAAGTGAACGGCGGCTTGAGTTTTAAAGGGGTCATATGATGCTATTTCGTTAGTGTGTGTTGGACGAAAAACAGAAGGGCGAGGGTAGAAAATGGCGGCCAGTCGGGTAGCTGGCGCTTGTGCTGTGGTGTTGGAGCTTCTATTCATAGGCGCATAATTAAAGGATGCTGCTCCGAACAGCAGCGTGCAGGACTCACTTTAGCCAGAGTATCTGTTTTTCACTCCTTGTCCTCTTCTGCTCTCTCTTCTTCCATTTGAGGATGCTTCTACAAAGTTTAAATGGCGCTAAACTGGTCTTAATCGATAACAGAGTGAGCGATTGGTGTGAGGGTACGGTCGCGTGCAGTGCGAGGGTGGACAGGTCTCACGGCCCATGAGACTCACTGTAATTCCGCTCAATCGCGGAACTGATAAGCATCAAGGAATCTGCTCTTGCGAGGCAGCTTAGTTTAGCTCAGTTCATTCTGGCAAGTGTTTGCTTGCGGGTTCTTAAAGGGGAAGGGTGATCTGAAGTGCCTTTTTGTCTGTTGCGGGTGTGGCCTTTCTAGCACCCACTCCCATGAGTCACTTACAAACACCCAGCTGGAGTGTTTTAGATTTTAGATTCATGTTGTCTAGAAAAATATATAGAAAAGCTGAAAAAAAAGAAAAAAAGGTTATGATGTAAAAAAA